CATACATACATACATACATACATACATACATACATACATACATACATACATACATACATACATACATACATACATACATACATACATACAATTAACGACATGTGCAATTAACGACAAATCAAAGTGTTAATCCATTTGTTACTTGATGTTTGACGGTTCAGTGTCACTCATCATGTTTTGGTTTTAACATACATACATACATACATACATACATACATACATACAAACATACGTACATACATACATACATACATACATACATACATACATACATACATACATACATACATACATACGAAACGAAACGAAACGAAACGAAATTTTATTTGCTCCTCAAAATTAAAGATAATAAATAAGAGACAGGATGAATGTCATCGAGCCCATAATGGGCTCATCTAGCACAGCCACCTAAACAAATATGTTCAGAGTTTTGTGGTTAATATCAAATATTGTTAGTATGTTAGTTGTTAGTAGGTTAATATCAAATATTGATAGTTGTTAGTATGTTAATAACAGATAATAAAACAAAAGGTAGTTAACTAAAAAATAATGTTTCATAGATAATTATAATCGCATTAAAAATATCAACAGAAATTGTTTATAGATAGTGAACATAAATTTCATGAAGTAAATACATTATATTCTATACATTATAATTATTTAATACATTATATTATATTTCTTATATAATTTATTAAATGTTCAGTGATTTTACAAACATCTCTACATTATTAATAAGGTTAATAATTTTAATAATTGTTAATTATTAAAAACGATTTAACTTTTTTTTAAAATCAGTAGCCGATTTCGCCTTATATTGAAAACCATTCTTAATAATGTTATTCCAGGTCCTAGGACCCTTACAGATTACATGCGAATGTAAAATGTTAGTTTTTGATTTATTCGATTGCAAATAATTAGACATCCTATGACTGTTAGCATGTTTAAAATAATTAGCAAACGTATTAGGCAATCGATTATTAAGCTGTTTATACACAAAAATCAAAGTACGATAAATATTCAATTGATTAAAATTAAGATTATTGGTTGTCGTAAATAACTCCTTGGTATGAGACCTCATCGTTGACATGGTGATGGTTCTGACGGCCCTTTTCATCATAAGTTTAACCGGATCCGTGACTGAAGGAGACGTTCCAGCCCAGACAATGTTGCAATAAATCACGTGTGGCATGAAAAGTGAGTGATACAACAAATTCAGACACTTTTTTGTGAGGTAGAATTTCACCTTGTTCATCAGACCAGTTGATTTGGCAAGTTTGTTTGCAACACTATTAACGTGATCACGAAACGTTAACTTTTGATCTAGATGAACGCCCAGAAATTTAACTGTTTTATTTTCGTAGATATCGATATTATTTATTTTAATTTAATAAGGTTCTTTGTAGTTTAAATATTGAGTTGGTCCAAAGATTATCATTTGCGTTTTAGAACTATTTAAAGTAAGTTTATTTAGTGAGAAACAAGAATTAACATGTTTAATTTCTTCTGTATATTTGATGAGCATGTTAATATCTTTTCCTTTGATGAACACATTTGTATCGTCAGCAAAACAAACATAATTAAAAAATTTCGAGGCCATCGGTAGATCGTTCACAAACACTATGATTAACAATGGTCCCAAAATGCTGCCCTGCGGAACGCCTATTTTGTTGATCAATTTACTTGAATTTTTATTGTTCCAAGTAACGAATTGATATCTAGATGAAAGGTAGCTACGAAACCAAGTCAAACTAGAGTCTCTTATACCATAGTGATGAAGTTTGTGTAATAAAATCGAATGGTCAATACAATCAAAAGCTTTTGAAAGATCGAGACATATTCCAATTACATAATTTTTCTTTTCACTTGCGACTCCAATTTTTTGAATCAGTTCCAGTATTGCCATTTCAGTTGAGTGGTTTTTTCGAAAACCAAATTGATGATTAGAAAGAATGTTATTTTTTTCAAAAAATTTGAGCAAACGACTGTGCATCAATTTTTCAATAATCTTCGAAAAAACAGGCAACAAAGATATAGGTCGAAAGTTTTTACCCTCTGAGTTACCTCTTTCTTTTGCAATTGGAACAACTTTGGATGTCTT